TTATGTTTTATGACCACATTAAGAATTTTAATGTCAATAACAATTATATCTTGGCAATTTACGAATATTTTTACATTGAACAACACATTCGTAAATCACCAAGTATGACAATAATATCTCATCAAATAAGGCATATCATTAAAGATGTAAAAATTATTTAAAATAACCAAATGGAAATTTTGGAGTTGAAAAGTACAATAATTGAAAAAATATTCACCAAAAAATAAAAGATCAACAGATTTCAACTTGGGGGAAGAAAGAATCAGTGAACATGACAAAAGATAAATTCTGTTCTAAGCAACAGAAAGAAAAAAAAAAGAAGAAAAATGAAGTCTCAGAGAAATGTGAGACATTATCAAGCATACTAACATACACTAGCACATACAATAATGTGAGCTCCAGAAGGAGAGCATAGAGAGAAAGTGTTAAAAAGTACAGTTGAAGAAATAATGGCTAAAAACTTCCCAAATTTGATGAAAAACACTAAATTACACATATAAGAAGCTCAACAAATCCAAGTAGGATAAATGCAAGGAGCTCAACACCTAAAGACATCATAATCAAACTGTCAAAAGCCAAAGACAAAAAGAGAATGTTGAAAGCAGCAAAAGAAAAACAACTCATACACAGGAGCTCCTTAGTGAGATCTAAAGCTGACTTCTCATTAAAAACCAGAGAGACCCACAGCCAGTGAGATGACATATTCAAAGTACTTAAAGATAGATTTAAAATAAATGTTTTGTCTGAAATTGCTCTTGGAACATGGGATAAGATGAGGGCAGTGAGTCTTGAATAGAAGAAAATGGGCCATCTTTAATAACAAGGCAATATTGGCAGTAGAGGTAACAAATTTGACAGGGATGTATTTCATCTTTATATATGCTTGTCTAAGAATGGCCTTAATCATGGAACCCCACATTTTGTAATCACATCTTTGGAACAGTATCTTACTGAAATACATTCCACACTGGGTGTTGTAAATACCTTTACATGATATTTTTCATGCATTTTATTTACCTGATTCATCAATAGCTGATTTTCCTTCTAGTTTCAGGAACACCTCATTCATTGTTGTAATTGAAACACCATAACTCTCAATTCCCAGGCCAGGGCAACTATCAAGATCCTGATAAAGTTCTAAAGAACACATACACAGTAGCAAGTCAACACAAGAAAAATCACAAGTGAACTGAGGATAACTTTTCAAACTAAAAAGCACAAATATATGAGATCATACTTGTGATGTGTCAGACATTTTAAAAACTAACATTTCATAGTAAGTAAATTTATTCTTCAAAATTTTATATACTATTTATTTTATATTGTGTTACAGCCTAGATATTAACTTCTTTTGATCAAATATTCATTTATATTTCTATTAAAATTTCATTTTAGTTTTTTCCTGGCTTGTTTTTAAAATTTAATTAATGTGGAACTTCAGAGTTTTTCAACTCTAAGCCTAATTAATTAAAGACTCTTTTCCAGAGAACAGATACAAATGGGAGCTATTTATGCTTTAACCAACAAAAGAGAAAGAACCAATTTTTTGAGAATTAATTGGATTGTGCAGAACCTTCTTCAGTTCAGAAAATATTTGTCAAAGGAAGGACATAGGCTATAAATCATTTTTTTATTTCTGCTTTTGACTATGGAAGAAAAAAATCACAAGATCTCACAGACAGAGAATGAAGAATGGACTCAGGGAATTTTCTGGGAATTGTGGTAGTCAATACTCCCTCTAACAATTCTGTATCTATTCATTCTTTAGTTCATTCATCAAAAATACTTTTGCATCAGTCATTGTTCTTAAAACAATGAACAATGTCCTTGCCTGCATGGATTTGAGTGATAACGGTTAATCAAATGAAACAAATAAAAATTTAATTTTAAATCCTGTTATGATTAGAGAAGTCCTGAGGCTTCAACCTGGAGCTTCTCCCTAGGCAAAAGAATAAATTAAAGGCTTTTTGTTTTGATTAGAGTACCGTACACAGAAAAGTAGAAGAGTAAGTTTTAAACTACCAATGAGTATTATGTGTCATTCTTCATTTTACCTAAATTTTACAAACCTCCTCTAAATTATAACTACTATTAAAATGCATTAACTAGGGTTCAATTAACACTTTGCCTGATGACTTTAAGGAATACTTGTGTTGTCACCATAAAGTGTATATCTGAATGACTCTGTGGGGTAATTTGTGTGTCTTTGTTAATCACACATATGGTAAGGTTAATTGTTTCAACCGCTCAATGCAGACTCTCACCCTGCACTATACCCAGGGAGCAGCTTTTCTGAATGACAAATGTAATTAGCAAACTTCTTTTTTAATTAAACTTTTTATTTTGATATAATTTTAGATTCATATGCAGTTGTAAAAAATAACACAGAAAATAACACAGAGATGTCTGTACACTTTACCCAGTTTTCCACAATGGTAATATCTAAAAAAGCCACAGTACAATATCACAACCAGGGTATTGACATTAACACAATCAAGATATAGAACACATCCATGCTATCTATTTATAGTCACATCCACGTCTCTCCTGACCCCATCTTCTCCTAACCCATGGCAACAATTAATCTGTTCTTCATTTCTATAATTTTGTTATTTCAAGAAGGTTATATAAATTGAGTCATACGGTATGTAATCTTTTGGTATTGGCTTTCTCCACTGAACGTAGTTCTCTGAATATTCATCCAGGTTGTTGCAGATACCAGTCAGTAGGCTGTTCCTTTTTGTTGTTGAGTGGTATTGCATGTGATGGATGTACCACAATTTATTTAACCATCCACTTGTTAAAGGGCATCTGGGTGGTTTCAGTTTTTGTCTATTCTAAATAAAGCTGCTATAAACATTCATGTACAGGTTTTTGTGTGAACATATTTTCATATCTCTAGTATAAATTCCCAGGAGTGCAATTACTCAGTTGTATGGTAGTTAAGAAACTGCAAACTCTTTTCCAGAGTGGCTGTGCCATTTTACACTCCCACCAGCAATGTATGAGTGATTCATTTTCTCCACATCCTAGCCAGGATTTCATATTATCACTATTTAAAGATTTTTTTTCAGCCATTCTAATAAGTATGCAGTGATATCTCATAGTGGTTTTAATTTGCATTTCCTTAGTGACGTATGACATTGAACATCTTTTCATGTACTTGTTTGTCATCTGTATATCTTTTTCAGTAAAATGTCTCCTCATATCTTGCACCCATTTTCTAATCGATTGTTTGTTTTTCACAGTTGAGTTTTCAAAGTTCTTTATATATTCTTGATACTAGTCTTTTGTGAGATACATAGTTTGCAAATACTTCCTGCCAGTCTGTCGCTTGTTTTTTCATCCTCTTAACAAGATCTTTCACAAAGTAAAAGTTTTTAATTTTGAGAAAATACAATTTATAATTTTTTTCCTTTCGTGGACTGTGATTTTGGTGTCAAATCCAACAACTTTTTGCCTAGTCGTAGACCCTAAAGATTTTCTCCTATTTATTTTCAAAAATTTTTATAGTTTTACTTTATATTTAAGTCCATGATTTATATTGAGTTAATTTCTGTATAAGGTATGAGACTTAGGTGAAGGTTCATTTTTATGTCTACGGATCTATTTGCTTCATAACCATTTGTTGAAAAAGCTATCTGTCCTCCATTGAATTGTTTTTCTGCCTTTGTCAAAAATCAGGCATATTTGTGTGGATCTACTTCTGGATTCCTTATTGTGTTTTCTCTATCTATGTGTCTATCACTCTGCCAAATTACATATTCTTCATTATTATAGGTTACACAATGCCATAGCTCACCCTCCTAGCTCACCACAGATGACCTGACAAAAACCACAGCTGCCTGCTTCTCTCTGGGGAGCAAAAGAGTTGATAGAGGCCCCCAGAATCTCTGACAAGGATGACTGGGAGAGTCTTCTCCCCAACAAAGCCAGTCTGTGAAGACTGGGAGAGGTGCCTGCTTTACCTAATGCACAGACATCAACACAGAAAGTCAAGGAAAATGAAAAAAATCATCAAAGATGTTTCAAAAAAAGGAACAAGATAAATCTCCAGAAACTGACGCTAATGAAATGGAGCTATATGATTTACCTGACAGAGAATTCAAAATAGCTATCATAAAGTAAACTTTGATAACCCAAAGTTATCATAAATGTCTCGTCAAGGGAAGAAACAGCTATATCATGAGACTGTTTAACACAATGGTTAAGCCAGAGGTTTTCAACTATTTGTGTTTATGCACGGTTATGAATACTAGAACATTCTGCTATATACTACAAAGGGAATGAAGGACCAAAAAAGCTCCCTAAATTGCCCAGGCATCATAATGCAACTGTTAGAATATAATATTTCCCACTAAAGATAAAATAATCAGTTATTATACTACTCTTTGCATCACGTTTCAAACACCTGAACACATTGTAAGCTCTCAATAAATATTACTTACATTAATTATAATTATTATGAGTATTATTTATGTATTTCATTTCATGGTGTTCATGTACTTTACCTAGAAACTTATTTGTTCTTTCTAGGGGCAATGTATAGACAAGTTTTCCTTCACTTTCTGCCGATAATTTGGCATCAGCAATGTGTTGTTTATCAAGTGATGTTATGTTTTCCTGAACACAGATTTCATTCAACTGCAAACTGATGTTAAAAAAAAAAAGATATATGTTATTTGACATAGTCTCCAATAGCATGAGGAATATTACTAGTCTCTATGGGACAAAGGAAAATTAATTCAAATCTACTGCAAGAAATAGGCCATCCAAACATGAAATAAGAGGGGAAAAAAAATCAGATCACGTAAATGTGATGAGGGAAAGGAAAGAATGAACTTATCAGAACTACTGCTCAGGTTACTCAGGGATGATGCCCAGAGAGGGTCAATATTGACTCAGGTTCTTAAGGAGAAAATAGCTACAAAATAGAGATACCAGGGCCACAACACGGCAAAGATCAGGACTATACAAGATAGAAAGCACTGAAGATTTTTCAAAGGGGGTTTAAGTTTGCTAAATAGGATTGTTGTATTGGGCATGAACAAGGGACTTTTGATAGGCATAGGCACAAAACAGGTTCAATTATTCAATTTAGGCATCCAATGCAAATTTATTAAGTTCTTAGTATCTGACAAAATTTACCCTAAGTGCTGAGGGTACAATGATGAATAAAACATTGTCCTGCGCTTATGGAGTTGACTGTCTAGTGGGGGAAACAGGAAGAAAACGAGTAAACAAACAGAAAAATAAAATAATTACCAATAGTAGTAAGTGCTATGAAGGAAATGGGGTTATAGAGAGAAATTAATTATGGATGAATGTGGGTTTGGGTTAATGAGATCACTAACTCTTGCTTTCCTTTTAGTGCTAACCCCAGAAATTTGACTAAGAACAAAGTATCATTGAGAAAATCATCCATGTAGAAAATCATCAATGTAGAAAAACAAAAAAATATATTAATCAAGGTTATAAAGTATATAGTAGATAAAATAGCAGTAGTGACTTGGCTTTGAAATTTGGTTTTGCCATTTTAAATGTGTTATTTAACCTCTCTGAACAATTTCCTCATTAGTAAAATGGAATAATGATTCCAAACATTTCGGGTTGTTCTAAGAACTGAATAATAGTGATGCCTGCACTTAGCAAGTCCTTAAAAATGGCTATTTTATTTGATCAAATGCTTACATCAAAATTATTCTATTTACTCATAAGCTATTATGAACCTACAAGAATACATGCCAATTTTAGAAGCAGTGAAACCCAATGAGCAAATGAAGCAAAAAAGTATCATAATTGTTCTCCGTGATGATGCTGTCCCCTGAAATAAAAATAATTGAAAAAATATTTCTTGGCCACTTACAAGAACTTGTTCTGGGTGCTAGAGAGGTCTGCATGAGCAGTACATGTATTCTTCCTTGAGGAGTTTATAGCTTGGTAGTGGAGGTCAGCTAACTTTTTCTGTAAATGGTTAGATAGTAAATATTTTAGGCTTTGCTGGCCAGTAGATGTCTGTTGCAACTATTCAGCACTGCCATTGCAACATGGAGGCAGCCATAGCCAATACATAAACAAATGTGAATGGCTGCATTCCAATCAAACTTTATTTACGAAAACAGAAAGTGG